CCACCCCAACCCCAACCCTGGCGAGCCTGCAGCTCCCTTGCCCTGACAGATAAAAGGAAGACCTCCCAACACTTCATTTGGCTGCCACAAAAGGAGGGCACTGAGCTGTGTTTAGTGACTATTTGTTCCGCCACCAGAAGATTTGCTGTTGCCATTTGCTGAGACATCACCCAAGCTCTCCCAGACCTCTGCTCCCAGCAGGACCATTTCTATCAGCTCTATTTCAAGCAGTTATTTAAAACGACTCCACTAAAACCCCAAGCCCCAATTAGGGCTGTGAAGGGTGGAAGGAGCACCAGGCAGTGCTGTAACAAAGCCTGTGCACACCAGGACCTTCACGGGGCACCTTCGGCACGAAAAGGCCACGGGGAGCCAAGAAACAAGGAGCACAAATCCCTCAGCTTCTAAAGAGTTGACATTTAGACCAGCTAATTCTCTTCCCCTGGATTTACAGAATCCTTGAGCCACTCCAAGAGGTGTTTTGCAGGTGCAGGGTAAGGAGCCACCTGAAGCTGTTCTGGGGGAATGCCAGTTTGTGCCCTTTGTTGGCAGGATGGTGCCCGACTGGCACGTGGCACGCTGCACAGAGTGTGTTTTCAGTGGCAATGAAGAACCTCAGCCTAAAAGGCCTCATGTAAATCGATGCAGGAGGTCACCTTGGGGAGGCAGGGGACTCAGCAGCCATCTGGAGCACAGAAGTGGGCACGGGAAGGTGTCTCACAGTGGTCATCAACACAGAAAAGAAACCCAAAAATTCAACGTGTTTTGGTACCAAAACCCAGGGCAAAGACTAAAACCCCACTGGGGATTTTAGCAGCTCTCTGGTGGCTTCCCTCCATCACCTCCTGTGTGACAGGAGCATCCCCACAGGGTGTCACCAAGGCTCCAAACCCCAACACCACGACTCCCCCACTGCTCCCCAAGAGGCCATCGCCCTGTTGCCACACAGACCAACCTCGTCCCTGGCATCAGCCACACACGTTGCCTGATGCTTTCTGTCCCCAAGCCCTAGCCCAGACAGTAACATTTGATGACAGAGCTTTGTCCCAGCCTGCAGGGACAGGGATAAATATTTGTTTTAAGCAATAGCCAAGACAACCAGACCCAGCCCAAGCAGCTCGTCCAGCTCACCGCAGGAACGCTGGCGCAGCAGAGCCCTGGCAAAGGGCAGCCAAGGCTGAAGGCACTTACAGATGAAACTCCCATCTTCTGCCAGGCCACTGGATGAGTTTAATTGCTTGGCACACATGCCCCTGGCCCCACACGGGGTGTTATCCTCAGCTGACCCTGCCCAGCCACTGACACTGA